AAAAACTAACACTTGCGGGGACATTAGCATTATCGGGGACATTTTAGTATACCCGTTAATTTTTTGTCCCCTTAGGCATTATTATTATTTTTTTTTTAAATGTACCCATAAGAAACTTTTATAGAGAACGAAAAGTACATACATTGACTATTAAATAGCCTGACTCGCAAGGGAGTGCTGCTACATCGACTGAAGGTTTGGTTTGGTTTGGCCAGGCATCAAGGTCAGGCTTAGGGTTAAGGTTGCGGCAAGGTTTAAATTTGGTTATATTATTGTAATTAATTGTTTTTGTAAATAGATGAAGTTAAAAATGAAGTAAAATATAAAATAAATAACAAAAATTAATATAAAATATATATATTTATAATAATTAAATAAATTTAAATATGTATAAAAAAAATAAAAATTAAAATTAAAAAATATATTTAAATATGATAAAAATAGTATAAAAAAGTAAAAAAAAACAGAACGGGAAAAAAAAAAAAGAAAATAGTAAAAACTAGTAAAAAAATACTAACCCAGGTTTTTCTTTTCCTAGATTACGTAAAAGTCGATTAGCAGTCACCTAATAATTTTTAATTAAAAACTTTTTAAAAAAATCTGTTTAGATTTTAAGAAAAATTTTTCTTTTATGTTTACATTTTCCTACTTTACCTCTCCATAAAAATGGAAAATCCATTCTGAAACATAAATATCAATATATCCATCCAAATCAAAGTCACCAAATGTAGGTGTCATTCCAGCTAAATTGCGCATGTTTGGAAACTGCATAGATACTCCTCTAATTTGAGCTTCTTCAGTAAATCTCCCTCCTTGATTTATGTACAAGTAATGCCGATTGTCGCCTACTGTTGTAACATAAAGATCTAGATCACCATCCGCATCAACATCAATCCAGCCAACACCATTGCCAAATGAAGTGGGGCCAACATTTGCAGAATATGTAACATCAGTAAATGTACCATCCCCTGTGATATTTAATGCAACAAAAACTCAAAAAACAAAATAAACTGTTTTGAAAAACTACAAAAATTTTCAAGTTAATTTATTAATAAAACCGATAAATTATTTTGAAAATCTAAAATATTTAACTCGTAAATTTGTTTACAGTTGTAAATAATAAATAAAAATAAAGTAAAAATATTAAAAATCTATTTGCATATATTCAAAATATTTTTTAACTACTTTGCTTCATTATTTTACCAAAAAAAAAAAATTACAAAAAACAATAAAATCATTGAACTCTTACTACTTTTTGAACTAAGAAAAACATAAACATTGATATAAATTTTGATATAAAAATATCACTTTTTTAATCAATGTTTTTACACATTCAAAGATTTAAACTAGCACATGATTAAACGATGACCTTTAAACATTTTGTGTTTTTTACAACTTGCAGCATAAAATTCAACAAGAATTCTTTCTAAAATCTACTAAGAAATTTACATTTTTAATCATATAATATAAAAGAACTTACCATTATTGCGATAGAGCACACTTGGCTCTGTAGCTATAGTATAAAAAACATCCTGGAAACCATCATTATCATAGTCACCTACAGCAGCACCACCAGTTAGCATCTCCATTAAGCATAATTCTCCATATAACCGACTTGTAATATTTAGTTCTTTTGAAAGTAAAACATAATCAAACCTACAATCTGGTCGGAGTGGAGGACCATTGCGGTGAACTTTATTAAATCCAACCTTCTAAAAAATATATATATATGTTTGTTTTATGTATAACATAAACAGATAATAAATAAATAAACATTATTTTTTATAAATTTCCTCTATCCAGGTTCTAAAATATTGCATGATTCTTAAAAAAAGAAAAAATATAAAAAGAAAAGGTTTTAGATGAAAATTTAAAATCTTAAAAACAAACTTTTAAAATTTATGTATATCACTATTACTGTTTTTAATCAAAAATAAATAAATTTTCTTATTATTATTTTTTTTTTTTTTAATTTAGTGTTAAAATTATATTTTTTATTATAAAAATCATTTTCTAAATATTTTATTTAAAAAAAAACAAAATTGAACAACCATAGTAATAATAATTAGACTGTCCTGTTTAACAGTGTCGATAACCACTACTGTCAAAAGGGAAATTTCAGCAAACTTTATTAAAAGTTCCACCTTATTGATTCATAAAAATTTCTCGAAAAACCTCTTGAAATGCATTAAACCTAAATGCATTTCAAGAGGTTTTTTGAGAAATTTTTATTATATTTTTCTTAAGAAGAATATAATAAAAATTTCTCAAAATTAAATTTCAATAAAATTTTTCAAAATTAAAGATCTTTAATTTAAAGAAGAATATAATAGAAATAAGTTAGGGCTAAAAATAGCACCTTTTTTTTAAATAAAATTTACAAATTTTATTTAAAGTAATATATATTTTAATGTTGTTATCCCAATATTTGAATTAAATTTTATTTGTTTTTAATTTATTAGTTGAAAACTAATAATTATTTAATTTTTTAGTTATTGTTATGGTAATTATTGTTACTATAGCCACGGTAAATACGAAAATCACTTTAATTATAATAATCTGAGCAATTTAAAATACCAAAACGTAATTTAAAGAGTAAAAAAAACTAAAGAAATAAAAAATAAACAAAAAGTACAGTAAAGAGATAAATAATTTAAGAGGTAACTAAACCGATAATTTTCACGTGTTTAAAATTACCAAATGGAAATTTTAAATTTAATTTACTTTATTTTCAAAAATTTAATTTTAAAAAAAGTTTCGGTTTCGTTTTCAAATAAAATATAATATAAGGGATCGTCCATAAAGTACGTACGCTCGGAGAGGAAGAGGAGGTCTGCAAATGGTGTTTCTGAGATAAGAGGGCAGTTGGTCAATAATAAAAGTATGGAGACACTAAATTAAAAAAAAACATCATAAAATGTTGGGTTAGTAGGTTAAAAGCGTAGGTACTTTTTTGGAGGTAGAGAGTACTCAAAAAAGCGTACGGCAAATTGTGAAAGGAGGGGGAGGGGTTTGCAGAAAAAAGCGTACGTACGTTATGGACGACCCCTAAACGGTTCAGGTTGAAGCAAAAAAAATTTAAAACAGTTAATGGTTTCTATAAGCTAATAAAAAAAAGTTTTAATAAAAATAAACTTTTTATATATTTTAATATATTTAAAGTAGTAAAATTAATAATATATAAAAATAATATAATAAATAGTATATTAATAATAATTGTTGATAAAATATTTGTTTAAATTACTAATAAAAAGTTAATTAAATGCAACGTTTTTTAAAAACAAAGATAAAAACCAGGCTGTATAATTAAAAAAGGAAACAGAAAAATTCGCTAACATCGCTTCAACGAACCATTACCTAAACACAATAACACACGCGCGCGCGTGCCACGCACGTATCCTTAGATATATGTTTTGAAAATAATAAAGAAAGAGTAACAAAAAATAATACCTGAGCAACTTCTTCAAATGTTTTATTAGAAGTGTTTTTTATGAAACTGTTTATGTTATTTGGTTGTTGACAGGTTTTATAATGTTCCAAATAGAGTACATCATTTTGCAAGACTTCTAATTTATTGATATCGGAATTTCTATTCCACTCATTTCCTATATTATCAGTAAACTTTTGTAAAGTCTGCGTAGTAGAACGTGCAAATTTGTCTAGTCTTGTTTGAATGCTATCACAATTAATGTCCGTTAAAAAAATAACTAAAAAAATGACAGTAAAGCAGCGATTCATTCCACTTTCTTTTGTAAGCTGGTGTACAACTAAAAATTTTTAAAAATTTAGAAAATTTCGATATGCTGTATTCAATTTTGTTTTTAAATTTTCATTCTGAAAAAATTTCATTAAAACTTTTTTTTTATTGAATATTGTTATTATAAGAACCAATCATGACACTAACTAATTTATGCAAACAACATTAAAAAAAATAACTTGTACATGATTTACAAACAAATATTTTGTGCGTATTTCAATGGTTTTAGTAACGTTATTAAAACTGATAAAAAATAATATTTAGTAATCAACAAATATTACATTCGAATCATTTTTTATATGCGTTTGGGTGGTTTTAATTAACAATCAAAGTATTAATAGTAAACTAATCTGTCAAGAAAAACCTCAAAAAAGAACATATGTTTGTATCTTTTGATTAAGGTTTTTTTGTTCAATAACTATTCGACTAATAGCTTTAAAAAATGCCCGTCATTTTGAACTTGTAACATTGATGTCAAAGGTTGGTAGGTTCTTCACGTCCGCTAACTCGTGACAGTCAACCTGATGTATGTACAGTGTACAATGTACACTGTACATACATCAACTGACTAGGAATAGGTAATAGAAATTGGTGCAGTGAGTGTATATTCATTAACTGAGAGTTTGAGTTTTGGTAGGTCGTCTTGCAAGAAAATAGATCATTTTCAATGAGCGGACATGAAGGACATCGTCGTAGTTGGAGTCTAAGTAGAGAAATAGAGACTGCTAATGTCAAATTCAACGAATCAATAACCGATATAAAATTTTATTAAAAATTAAATCAATTTTACAAACGCTGTTAATATCTCGCGGGTTCTCCACTATTGCTTTGCTTGAAATTAAATTACTATGAAAAATTAAATACATCATATGTTATAGTGAATTATTTGTGATATTACTGTATATGTTTTATTATTTGTTTTAGTAATGTATATGTTATAAATATTTGTTATAGTAATGTATATGCTATAAATATTTGTTATAGCGCATTATAAATGCAACACAAAATAATATATCATTTAAAATTAATATAAAAGTGACATTTTTAATACTAGTTTGTTAAAGTGTTTGTTTTTAATGTTGGTAATGTTTTAATTTTGGCAATTGTTAAATTAAAATTTAACAAAATTTTCAAAAATGTTTCTGTATTGTTTTGATAATTATTCGTAAAAGCTTGTCCCATTATAGAACAACTTTCCTCATCATAGAACAAACTGCTCCATAAGACTGACTTAAAAGAATAAAAATATTTTTTAATTAGTTAGTTCTAACTACTAAATTGTAATTGATAATACTTTAAAATACAAAGATTACATCTGATAAAATTAATATGATCGATTGAAATTCGGATAATTTTTAAATTGCATCTTCTCTTGTTGTTGTCATCTTGCCCCAAGGTCAAATTTATCTTGTTCTAATACTTAGACTTTAACCTCCAGGCAAGATGACAACAACAAGATGACATTACTGAAAGTAAAACATATTCTATGTTTTAAACATGTTACATGGTTTAACTAATGATAGCTGTGTTTTTACATTATACATACTGTCAAGTTCTTAAACAAGCAGAACATCTTATAAATCAATCTTTAAAGTTGATGCAACTAGATTGTTTGTCCTGGATATTACAAACTTAGGCCTACAAAAACTTAATTTGAGTTTATTTACACCCTTTTTAGCTTCACGAGCTTCTTTTTCTTGTTTTATTTTGAATTTTCTTTGCTTTTTTATTTGTTTTAACATTTTTTTGACGGGTGTTCTTGTAAGAATGCTTAAGCTCATTTTTTCGCTTTTTCGTTTTTTCTTACGTTTTTTTTGCTTTAGGCAATGGTTTTATATCAAAAACACTAACCAACTTTTTTTTGCATTGAAATTAGCATTTGCTAACTCCGATTGAGTCTGAGGATTAACATTTTTCTCAGTTTCATTTCCAACAACATCATGTTAAGTAGTTTTTGCAGCAGCAAGTTATGTTTACTAAACATAAGTGGGTTTTGAAAGCTCGTTTCCACATTCTTTAATCCAAATAACGCCATTTCTAACTGTAGCTGATATAAAGTAAGCGGTGCTTAAAAGATCACCAATTTATTTGTCTATTATAGGTTGTCCTCGATGAGTTACCATTTAGTTGTCACATACTTGACTACAGTAGGTCTTTAATGGGCTGAAAAATAACACATCAAAATGTTGGAGATGATATGTGGCGGCATGGAGATGTCTTTAATGGGCTGTAAAATAACACATCAAAATGTTGGAGATGGTATGTGGCGGCAACCCAACCATGAAAATGTTTTTTTCTCTGCAATATAATATAGCTTACAAAGTCATGAGAGTGAGTTATGTGATTTTCAATAATCAATAGAACAGAAGATTTTTTTGCTTGGTTTCACGTCTTGATAAAAGTGCTTCAAAAATAATTAAAAAGGTTTTATTTTTGCTTCAGGCATTATCACTACAGATCCTGGCGGGGCTCTTTCTAAAAGTTTAGGAAGCATTCATTTTCTAAAAAAAATATGAAAAGGTGGCAGTTAAAAGCCAATAGCACTAATGCAACAAGTTATAGCTAGATTTCTTCCTCTCTCTGCTAAAACAATTTTAGAAATTTTTCTAGATCTTGTAGGACTGAGATTTATGAGTAGCTTATTAAGAACAGTGGACAGACTTGAAGGAAAGCAGTTTCGAGACCCATTTTTTTGGTAATAGGTAGTACTTAAAGTAAGTTACTTATAAATGTTCAAGAGAAACGAAATAGCTTACCTATATCTGTAGCAGAGCTTATTTACACCATGCATAACGCGGCAGCCTATAAACAATAAAAGGTTCACAACTAATACAAAAATGGCGATTTCATGATTTTTTAATGAGCAGCCTATAGAAGAGCCAGTAATTTCCTATTAATGCTGTCACCTAGTGAAAAAGTGAAAATTTTAGACGTTCTTGAACTTTTGTCTTTATTTTAGTAAATAAAAAAAGATAATAATAAGGCTTCAACTTTACGACATGGAAGTAATTTAATTTTTTTGTAAAGTACCCATGATTAAACCCACAATTTAACTTTATTTATGTCATTTTTTTTTTTGTAAATCCATAAATCTTGGAAATGTTTAATACTATTAACATGTTTTCTTTTTTCCTCAGTATTCCTCTTTATTTCAGTATTTTCTTCTCTATTGTTCAATTAAGTTCCAGTTTTTTTTTGTTACTAATTTAAGAAAAATATTAGTTGGTCTATCTGCCTTTATATCTCCATCAAGTGAATTTTTTCTGAAAAGTTTTTAGATTTTAATTTTTCAATACTCTTTGAATGAAAGACTGCATTTAAACAAGTTGAATCTTGTTGCAACGGAGTTTGATTTCCATGAATCGAGTCAACTATTAGTTTTGCCTTCTTTTTGCCATTAAATCTTTATTTTCCACCACTTTCCTATTTTTTGTTTATAGTTTCGTTCTCCTTTTATAACGTTTTATAATATATAACTTTTAATTTAATTATCGTCCGAATTTCAACCGATTATAGTGATAAATTTAGATGGTTTATCTACAACTTAATAAAGTGGTTTATATGGAAAGATAACAAAAAATTTGTACTAAAAAACTTCTTAGATCAGCTAAGTTTTCAACGCCAGCTATCTGAAAGGTTTTCAACGCCAGCTATCTGAAAGGTTTTTAACGCCAGCTATCTGAAAGGTTTTCAACGCCAGCTATCTGAAAGGTTTTCAACGCCAGCTATCTGAAAAGTTTTCAACGCCAGCTATCTGAAAGATTTTACTGCAATATATTTTTTGACACTAAATATACTAATTGAGAAAAACTTGCTTGTAGCTTTTTTTTTAATCTTATTAGATTTAATAACTATTTATTGTATATTACTAATTACGTTAACATTAAGAACGGTATATTTGTGTATAGTCATTGTTTAATCTATTATAATTTTGTGATTCGCCAAAATTCTTTTTTCATCATTGAAGTTCAAAATCTGGCGACATTTATTGAGAAGTGTTCAAAGCCAACACCTATATCCACGCATTCTTGGTATATACCCAAGTTAGTGTATTCCGATGTTTATTTTTCTTTTTTATTTCTTTCTTTATTCTCAATAAAAAACATTTGAAAGAGGAGGAGGGGGGAGATACGTTGAGAGATGAATAACTCAATTTAGAAAATCTATAATATAAAATGATTCCGTAACGCTGCAAATATGGCGCATAAATTTTTTTGTATACACTTTTATACAGAATGATAAAAGACATTTTACTCGCAATATAGTTAATAAAGAAATTCTTTAATAATATTTCTTTAACTTGAAATTTTTTAGCTTAAAAGATTTTTTTTCATGCTTTTTATTTGTTACTTTGAAATATTTGTCTTTGTATGTATATTTAATACATTTTTTATGTATATTCATTATATTAATGTATTTGTATTTATTTATTGTAATTGTCACTTATTTGTCAATTATTTGGATGTTTAAATACCAGTGACGGATCCAGGAATTATTGGTCGGAGAGGGGGGATGTTAAAATATATTTTAATATTTTGTACCATATTTGCGTCTCCTAAAAAAAACCCCTCAATTTCGAAGATATTTTTGGGATTTTCAGATTCTGGTGGAGGGAAGGGGGAGGGGGGGGGGGGAAATTCAGACCGGACAAACAACATTAAATAATATACTGATAATAAACATTAAAGTGGTGCTATAAAAAAACCATATCGGTTCAATTTTAAAAATATCAATAATCAAATTGAATTAATGTTAAATGATAATGAACAATAGATGTACAACAATATTATAGTTATATTGCTATAAATAACATTAAAATCGACATAACTAATCATGATATGGATTACGAGGACGCGTCGTAACAATAAATAGGGGGTACGCAAATAATTTCTTAACTAATTTTAACAATATCAAAAAACCTAAAAATATTGAAATAAAGCTTTATTTTTTCAAAATAAAAATTTTTTTAAAAACTTTTTTAGTTCCAAATATATCTAAATGAAAATATAAATATAAATAAAAGATTTAAAGCAAAGAAATAACAAAGAAAAGCAAGTACAATCGGACTTATAAAACCCTCTTTTGTAGCCGCTACTTTTGTTATATCGGCAATATTTTGAGTTTGGATTTAAGCTTATCATAAGCATACCAAAAACTAATAACTATCATTTAAATATAGAGAGAGACTTAGATAGATCTTCTTAGAGTATGTCAAGTCCCAGATGATTAAAATGGAAATATTCGAAACCTCGATTAAATAAGCTAATAAAATTTGCATGCAAGTTTTACCTAAAAGTTATTAAACACGTTATCATAACAGTACAAAAAAATCATTAAAATTTTGATAATAAAACACTAAAGATGTTAACTACAATGTTTACGTAATAACAAGAAAAATTTCCGATAAAATCTGAGAAAGATTAGGAAGAATTTGCTAATGAGAAAAGAAAGAATCATTACAAAGCGATTGACGTCAATGATTGTAGCAAAACAATACGATACACATAATTCAGTTAGCTAACAAAACCTGGACTTAATATAAGAAAAATTGAAGAATATCATTTATGTTAATAGTAGAAGTCTACATAGTTACTAGACTCTTTTTAGTTTAATAAAGTTTTAATTTCAAATATCTAAACTAGTTCGGTAATATCATACAACCTCACCGTTCACTAGATATACATACACTCAAGGTCGGAGTGGCAAGGAGGGTATTTCCCTTTTCCGGGCCCCTGCAATGTCTAAATGTCCCGGGCCTCTTTATAAACCAAGAGACATAAATAAGACACACAAAAGTACAAGTTAATAATAACTAATTACTGTAAAATGTATCAGTTTTTATTTCCTATACCTATTTAAAAAAAAGTGATTAAGGGTTTAACGTAATTTTGCTAAATTTTTTGCTACCTATAAGGGCCCCACATATATCTTGCCAGTCCGACCCTGCATACACTACAAATTTTGTATACTGTATCTTTTCAAAGTAAAAGCGTATCGTTAGTTTTGGTTGATTATATATTTGTACGTTAAAAAATAGAAATAATATAATAAATTGCAATAAACTTAAGAGATAAACTGAAGCAAATTGAAGAGAGAAAGCAAAAGTATAAGAGAGATAACTAAGTGAAAAAAGTAATTAGTGAAAATTAATTTAAAAATTTATATCAATATCAATTAAACTATTTTAATATTATACTTAATTATAATAACAATAATATACTATATTTAATCATAATAACAATTATTACCTCACTTTTCTTCTGTATTTTTAACTCTAAGATAAAATGTTGCTGCGCCCTATATATAGTAGCTCTCACGTGATGACGTCGTTGCATTAGCGAGAGCAAAAATTGAAAATATGTGTTAATAAATTAATTGATGGTCTAATTTAAATGAATAAACCTGTCTAAACATTTATTAAAACAAATATTTAATCATCACTGTCTAATAACCTAAAGGTTAAATTCTGTCTAGTCACCCAAAATATTTAGTACCTTTTGGGCAAATGAATGAAAAATATAAATAAAAATTTCATCACACTACTTTATTCCAAATTAACGTTTTCAAAAAGATTTACAAAATTTAATAGTTTGATAAACCTTTAGTAAATAACTAGCTATAATATTTTTGAAGTATAATGATATAAAACGATTAATAATATTATAATGAATAAAACAATTTTGTAAGAAAAACTGATCTAAACAATTTTGTAAAAAAAAAGATCAACATAATAATCCAAATAAAATGTTTGGGTAAGTTATTTGTGTGTACAATTTCAATTTAATTAAAGTTTACTACATTTATTGTCTAAATTATAATTTAAAATAATAGATAGGAAACTTTTTCTAATTGGTTAATTAGAAAAAGTTTCCTTTCTTTTATTTTTAATTAAAGGAAAAGCTTCCAATCAACCCGCTATACCGCATCCACGCGCAAGGATTTTGTGTATTCGCAGATATAATAAAATTAATTGCACGGAAGAATTAATAATAGCAGTAAGCAACCTGTAATACGGGTACTCGTACTAACATTTACTAACAACCCGGGTTGTTAGTAAATAAAATTAAAAAAAAAACCGCGTATAGAAAAGTCTGGAAACTACTTTAAAACAGAAAAGCCTAGAAAATGACGTAAGTCGACTATTACTACTATTAAATTAGCGTATTAATATTATCAGTTTTTCAATTTATTACAAATATTTATTGTAGAAAAAATATATAATATATATATATATATATATATATATATATATATATATATATATATATATATATATATATATATATATATATATATATATATATATATATATATATATATATATATATATATATATATATATATATATATAATTTTGAGTTAAATATAAAATTTGAATATTAAATTCTTTCTATTAAGTTATTTAGCGACACCTCAGTGTAACTGCAACTAGATTTGCGCCAGCTAAGTAATTTTTTTTTTAAATACAAATAATCCTTGCTAAAACTAAAAAGTCACCGATAAAAAGAATTATCACAAAGAGATTAATGGTAATAATAATAAAATAAATAAATAAAGAAGTCATTATGATGCACATTTTAAGATGTATTTAAAATATCTATCTCCTCGAAACACTAGAATAAATAAAAGTAAATAGCAATTGCAACGCATACTTAAATATTAAAATATTTCAAAGTTGCTAACTGATTTGATTAATTAAAAAATATATTTATTTAACTCCAATTCGCATAATTTACTTTGACTAAATAAGTACGTTTAAAATTGATTTAAATAAAACTTGAAGTTTGTCCTTTTTTTTTTTCGTTTTGACAAAAGTTGACACTTTTGACGGGAAAAAACTTTGCAATTTTTAGAAATTTAAAATCTTTGATTTAAAGATATTAGAGTTGCCATAAAAATTGTTGACGAAGAGTTTTACTGTATCAATTATTTTTGTTGACTTTTACTGTATTAATTATTTTTGTTGGCTTTTACTGTTATCAATTATTTTTGTTGACTTTTACTGAATCAATTATTTTTGTTGAGATTTACTGTATCAATTATTTTTGAGATTTTAAAGGCTGCAATAGTAGTTTAACTAAACAAATTAACAATTACAAATAATTTGTAATTAAAGAGCTTTAAGAAAACCTAACAGTCTTTACGCCGCCTTTCTTAGCTACTTTGCAAATAACTATATTTGCAAGCGCTTTAACCGATCCTAGTCGACATGCATTATTGGGAAAACGCCCATCAAACGTCTCACGGGCGTCTGTAAGACGATTAACGGACCCAGTGAACTTGTGTCTTTTTGACACAAGTTCACTGGGGTGTGTGAGAGATGCTTAAATTTTTTGATTAAGAATCAAAACAACGTTCAAAAAATCAAAAATATATATAATTTTAAATACCTTTTTTTAAAAAGGGTTAAAGTAAATAAGTAAATAAATCATTATTACAGGTCTTTAACTTTTGGTACTAAATTTTATTATTTTATATTGAAAATTCGGTCTTGAATACTTATTTTTATTTTATTTTATTTATTTATTTTATTTTTTTATTTTTATTCTTTATTACAATCATTATTACAATTTCTATTATAACTATATGCGAATAAAACGTAAGACCTAAAAAAGAAATAAATAATATTTACAATAAAGATTTCGTTAACAATAAAAATATAACAATAAATACAACAATAAAAATTAGGAATAAAGAATGCGGAAACTCGAAGAGGTCCTTGAGGTCTTGTCGTAGAGAACCG